TATATATATATATATATATATATATATATATATATATATATATATATATATTTTTTTTTTTTTTTTTTTTTTGCACCTCTTGTAAATATCCCTAATGTAAGTACAACATTGATACCTGCACCAGTTTTCAAACTACTTTGCTAATTGATGAAGTAGAACTATATTTTACACCATCACAGCAATCAGCGAATACCTGCAGCTGCAAACTGATTCTTCCATATGTCCTCAGGGCCTAAAATGAAATGCACCCTAGCTGTGACAGTTTCAATATGATGCCAATTTCCTGGTACAAGCCAACAGTAGTAGTAGCATTTAAGAAATAATCAATAACAGCTTGGGGAAAATGGAAGGTAGTCTTATGTTGGAAATGTAATATCTGCTTTCTGGTTGTAAGTGGATTGTCTGGATGTTATACATCAGTAAGCTGTTATTTTCTTCAAGTGCAGATGAAACGAAACAAAGTTACAATTAAATACTGCATGATAAAAACATGAATAGCAGTATTTAATCTGTCAATAACATATTATGCAGAATATGATTCTGCCTATTAGTTATATCTACATAGCGCCTATTTCTATAGTGAAAATGGTTTGAAAATTGTCTCTTTCGTATCTGCCATTGTGTCTCTTGTTTTTTCCACACAAAACACTCACAAACACATGCACACAGTGACACAAATCAATGTTTGACTGAAGGAAGAGTACTTCAGTTCAGTTTATTTATTTAGCACCAATTCACAAAACGTGCCATCTCAAGGCACTTTACAGAGACAATTCAACCAGATCATATTCAGATCTGTTCAAAGTTTTCTAAGGAAATTAGCTGATTGCATCGACTAATTGACTTGAAGGCAATGCCTCACATCAAGCATGCTTGCAGTAGTAAAGTATTAAAAGTAGTGATGAAACAAAATTCTAAAAATGCTCTTAAAAATGCAAACTTGCAAATCTTTACCTTTATCTACCCTTTGAATTATGAAACACTGCAAAGACTTAAATATAGGACAGCAACTCATGAAAAAGTTTAAATTTGTTTTCCTCCTCAACTTTTATAAATTTTTACCTGCAATTCCACAGGAAATGCTCATGTAATTCATTTTTATTCTGTCTATAGGGACCATGATCTCCAACACCATTACAGGATTTCTGTGACTTTACTTTAGCTCCACCTGTGACTGCACTTGAGCGGGAAGCTTGTCTAACTCATTCAGACTACCTGGAACCTGATTTCTTAGTCTGCACATGTTGTCAGCAGTTTCTTTTTTTTCATGTGTAGCAAAAGGCACTCTGGCTGCTGACAGCAGGTTTACTTTTACTGAGCTGGTATTTCCAGACATCCCTGGCGAGGTTAATGCAAGTAAAGGGTATTGTGTAAATCAATGAGGAATATCCCATTTCATATTTGTCGTAACTAAGGGGATCTTATGTGTTCGGAATGGTTTCTTCGAATATTTTGGCATGTTGTGTTCTTGACCAATGCTTTTCTATTTTTTTATATTTTTAAAATCTCAGATTTTTTCCCCCCATTCCTTCAATGCCAGTTTCATCAAAATAAAAAGTAAAAACGTAGAAAAAAAATTGTTTAGAAATGTTAAAACCACAACATTTGTCCTGGTCAATTCTTGTTTCACCTTAAAATGACATTTTTCTGCATGTGGCAACAAAAACATGTATTATCGATAAAATTATTTAAAAAATATGTAATATTTAGTTACTAACACATTATTTTGCATAGATTTTAAATTGGAGACAAAGTCGCTATCTAGTTGAAAACACCCAGAGGAAAGGAAAAACTGAAATGAGATGTCCAAAATGTTTAATGTACTTCTCCTATACAACTATGGGATATGTGTGACACAAAAGCAGACTGAGCTTTATTTCTCCTGTGCCTCTTTTTTTTTTCTTCCTGGAGCAAAAGGATGAACATTCTCAGAGTTTCTCAAAACTTGTGTCCATTTGTGATCCCAAGCAGAGAAATCAGAGATTTCTCTCTGTGAACTCGGTTTACTCTCATCACAGCCTCCATATCCTTTTTTTGAAAGCATTAAACACAAGATTCATAGAATTGATTTCACAATCAAAACGCTATGCAACACTAAAATACAGTTAGATGAATTAGATGTTTCGGTAAAATAACTGTCAGGTAAATCTCCTGGTCAAGATCTGGGAATACATAATATAATTATTACCAAAGCATTAAAATAATGTATTGAAAAAGATTATTTTATGCCAACTATGAAACAAGGACTCATTGCATTATTACCAAAAACCTGGAAAAGACAAAAGATATGTCGATTATCTGAGCCCAATAACTTTATTGAATGTGGATTATAAATTATTCACCTTTATCTTTTCCAATCGACTAAAAAAACTGATTTGAGACAGTTCAGGAAAATATAGTAGAATTCATTAAGGATAATTCTATACACAACAATAACCAGTTGGTTCTTGACTTAATAGACTATAATTCATTTATTGAAGATAAAGGCTTTGTTTTATTTTAAGTTTCTACAAAGCTTTTGACTCTATACAGCATCCCTTTATAATTTAATCCTTAGAGCATTTTCGCTTTGGTAAAACGTTAATGAAAGTGATGTATTTAATGTAACAGGATATTAATAGTTTAGTCCCTCTTTCTTTAAAGGAACAAGCAGATTAGAAGAGCCATGGGGAATCTGACTGGGTTGCCTCTGCTCTCCATTATTTTTTATGACTGCTTTTCTTTTTAATAGCCAAAATATTGAGCCTTGAATGTATTTTGCTATCATCTGATACAGTAATAACTCAGCTCGCTGATGTTACTCCTATTTTTCTGAAAGATAGAAAAAAAAAAAACAGAACACTTTAGTTATAAAAAAAAGATGCCTCTGGGTTTTACTTAAATTTATTAAAATGTGAGTTAATGTCAATACATGATTATCAATAGGGCACTTTATATGGGATTCAAGTGAGAAGAATAAATAAAATATTTAGGCATGCCCATAAAAGATTATATGATTTGAATATTTTTCCTCTCATAAAAAAAAGTAAATACATCCTTTATTCCTGGCTACAAAGATATATGTCCATCTTTTGGATGAATTTTGATCACCAAAGTGGAGACACTCTTGATTTACATATGCCATTTATTTTTTCACTATTGCTCGGTTGGGCGACAGTGGTGTTGGATGCTGGAGTTTGCCCTGGTTCTGGGTTGAAGCCCCAGCTCTGGCTTTCCATGTCCTTGTGCTCTTGGGCAAGTGACTTAAACTGCATGTGAAGAGAACTGATGGTGATCAGAGGGCCTGTATACGACAGCTTTGCTTCTGTCAGTGAGCTCTATGGCAGCTGTGGTTGCAATGTGGCTTGCCATGATGGTGTGTGAGTGAGTGTGTAGCTGAATGGTAGTGAATGTGGAAATTCAAGTTTGACAAGGGATGTCATTTAAATCTCAACTATGACTCCTGTAATTTTAACGTCTCACTTGATTTTTGTTAGTTTTCTAAAATAGTAACTAAATGAAGCTGAGATGAGAAACTCAGATACGTCTCATGAGGTTTAGAAGAGCAGGCGTAGAGGAGTAACACTTTCTTATGATAATAAATATGGTGGAGAAGCTCAGAGAGCTATGGTATGATTTTACCTCTGATATTTTTTCTCATATTAAAGACTTGATGAAAAGATTATTTGAACTTCCACTTTAAAAATTTGCAGCTGAGCAATTTGGAAAAGTAGCAACAGGGCAGCCAAAGTTATATAGAAATATAAATCTTGGGGGACTTCTAAAAGAGGAAATGCTAACTGGTACCCTGATAGCAGATTTATTTCCTCCCTTTTTTAAGGGAAATAAATAAGGAATTTTATTTAAGTACTTCCATTAGAGGGATAAGAAAACTGGTGTAATTTTCTTTTTCTTTTTTGCAAACTCAAGTTGGTGGCAGATCAAAAATAGTAAATTCAAAAAGTAAAATACATTTGTGTAATTGTTTACAAGCTGCCTTAAGAATGTAACCCAGTTATTAGACTTTAAAGTTGCTTTAAGGTGCATTATTATAACAGCAAGAGTGAAGAGAAGAAAACTATTTTTAAAAAAATAGGGCAAGGGCAAGAGACAGGTGGAAGCTGAATAGATCTGAGCACAATGTGAGATAGTAAGTATCAGATAGAAATCCAGTAAGTTACAAA